GAGAGCTTTCAGGTTTGAATCCCACGAGCATCGGTTCAGAGTCAGCCCTTCCCCAAGAAGTGGCGAGCTGCGGACGTCACATCTGCGGTGTGGTGGGCAGCTGCGGTGGCAGCTTGGGTGGGTGTATCACGCTGGCCTTGATCCAGCTGGCACGGGTAAACCAGCAGTGACATAGCGTAGCAACTTAAGCGCTGTCTTAACGCTATTAAATACGCAGCTGAGATCTCCAGAGGGTTTGTACAAGCTGAGGTGACGTCTGTGTCACTGGCTCTTTCCTGCAGTTTGCTATCTGTGCTAGCTCAATTACAGTTCTCGCAGACAGGTCTGTGCGGTGCCTCCATCCCTCACCTGACGTTAGCGCAGACCTGCCTCCAGACAGATGCTGCTGAGGACGTGCAGGCCACATGAACGTCGGCTGTTGCTGTCTGCTGTTCGTGCCTCCTGTGCTGGCAGAAGTCTTTCTGATTTACTGGTGTTAGCCAGCATGCAGGGGAGGGGAATTGCATCTCTCATTGGTGGGATTTGCTTTGTACTGCAGCACCGAGGCGAGTTTGGGGCTGCAACAGAGCCACTTTCTTCCCTTCTCTGTCACATGGGCAATTCTGCTCCCACTCCCCGCCTTCCCAAAGTCCTCTCCTGCCTTGCTGTAGGGCTGGGATCACCCCAGTTCCTCCCTGAGGCACCGGGAGGTCTGGGGCTGCAAGGCACTGTGCATATGGGCGCGTGTGCCATGGTGGGCAACCTGCCTGGGCTCGGAGAGGCACCCAGGGAGAAGGTCTTTGGCCCAGACACGTCTGAGTTTCCCTTTCTCTCTCTCCCCGCAGATGCCAGCAAGGACCATCCGCAGCAGCAGGCAGGGGTGATCTGGAGAGTGACGGGTGGCCTGTTCAGTATCACTCGGGGGCGTCGGAGCTGTGGGCAGCGCGGTCGCCAGCAAAGTCCCTTTCACCGCAAAGAAGAAGGACAAGGCTGACTAATCCCCATCGCAGCTCCCTTCCAAAAGATCAGCCCGCCCATACTCTCCCCCTACACAGCACCTCTTTGAGTTGGAACCAGCCGCTTCAGGGAGGGTCAAGCACCCGAGCGGACTCTGGCTGCAGCCTGCTCAGCACCGCCTGCCTGGCTCAGAGCTCACAGAGCCGCTGTCAATGCCTTTCACTCCCATCGCCTACTGGGAACCATCTCTACTCCGAGGGCTTTAAAGGCGTCCTTGCTCTGTCTTGCAGTTTCCTTCCTCCCTGCTTGCTCTTGTAAGCACAAAGGGGTGGGAGAGGGTGTCCGGCTCCGTCTGCCTGGAGGGGAGGGGAGTAACGGGGAGGGGGAGGACTATGCCTGGCTTGAAGTCTGGGTTGTGTAGTCGAATTCAGCTTCAGCTGGGAAGACAGCCTCTGAAACATCCCTTCCCTCGGCGCTAGGAGGTGTGTTTGGGGGGTTTGCCTGGGGGAGAACTTTAGAAGAAAGTCCCACTGCCACAAAGGAGAGATACTGTGAAGAGGGGGAAGCCTCCCTCCTGCCCTGCTCCTCTTACCTTTTCTTTGCAGGGCCCATCCCACAAGCTGCTCCCAATCACTTACTCCCTGGCTGAATTGCACCCTTCAGAGAAGGAACCCTCAAGCTCAGCAGAGCAGCTCCAGGGATGATGCCACGCAAGAGTGTCATATGTCCCGGGTCATCAACTTCTGCGCAGATTTTCTTGGTGAGAGGCAGGAGGATGAGAGCTGCTGTATGTTCCTGTTTGGGGAAGGAGCTGACAGTGGCATCTGCCCGGGCTCTGTGATATTGCAGCACAGGTGGTGATGCTCCACAGAGAGACAAACCGGGCCTTTGGGTTAGACCCTTGAAGTCCTGGCAGTATCCCCATCTGCAACAGGGGCATCTTGATTCTAGGCCACACTCTCGCTCCACAGACGTCATTAGTAACCATGAGCAAGCGTGTTCCCAAATGCCACCCAAGTTCTGCTGCAGGGAGGGAGGGGAGGCCGAGAGCGTTGCTCTCCCCGTGACTCAGCACCCTGGGAGCAGTGGCCTGGCTCTGAGCAGGCTGCGCTGCATTGGAGAACGCTTCCCTGAGGGGCTGAGCGTGCTCCAGCAGCAGCCATCCTGCATGGGGCACCAGCAAGACCTCCTCCTCACGCTGCTCCTGGGGCTCCAGCCCAGCTCCTCGAAATGACCGTGTTGCACTAAATAGCCCACCCACACTCGTAGGGCCGCAGAAACCCAGACAGGCCTTCATCTGGGAGCCACAGCCATCCTCAGCCCAGCCCATGATGCTCAAGGGGCTGTGTGGCATTGCGTGCGCGCACACACACACACACGTGTTCACACACTCACTCGCTCCGAGGTCCCCTGTAATTCTCGGGATGAGGGAAGCCACAGGCTCCACCTTGAATTTTGCCACTCCTGGCTTTGGCAGATGATTAGCCAAGGTTGCTAGGTGTTGGATGCATAGGCAAGTGAAGCAGTGCTTGTGCTGTATTTTATAAATATACATCTGTGTTAGCGTGTGTGTATGTATCAGTCCACAGGCATGTCTTCAACCGGGTAAACAAAGCTGTGCCACTGCCGCAGAGGAGTTTACGTAGTCATCTTTGGCACTTCCAGCATATAGTTTTATGTAAGGTCCTGGTCAAAATAAAAATCTGTTTTAGAGGATGTTTTCCCCTCTGTTGCCCAAGAGCCTGGTTAATTGAAACCAAAGGAATGTGAAAAATCCCCTTCCTCCCGTCTATGCGGTTTGTTTACCTTCTGCCCTATCTTCTGGACACTGAAGCCAGCTTCCTTGATCTTCATTTCCCGTTGGAGGTCATTGCGCTTCTTGGCTGCTTTCTTGTACTTAGGACTCAGACGTCAGGGAAGATTTAAGTACAACCCCCCTGCCACCGTTTTTGCTGAATGTTCTTGGGCTTGTGAAGCAGTTTTGATTCTGACCTTTATTAAATCCACGTTTTGGGCCTGACTTAAGTCGCTGTGTCCCTGTGCTAGTCATGCTGGTGTTAGTCTCTCTTCATACCCTTCGCTGGGTAGTCCCTGCTGTTTGCAGTGGCAAGAAGTTGCTGATCTCCACAGTGTGTTACTCTTGATAGCATGAGAGTGGTTTAACCTACATCTTTGTTTCTGAAGAGGAAGCAGCGTTTGGTACGTGTGTGCGTTTCCTCGCTTTGTCTCTTTTGTTCTGGTGAAGGCCAAGTTGACCCAGACGTGTCAGTTGTGTCTCTGAAGGCAGTGGCTTCACAGAAAGATCAGGCCTTGATGCATGCCTGCGCTTTGCTGGGATGCTCGTGGCAGTTGGCAAGGCCATAAGAAGTCTTGTCTGTTCCTCCTTTGTCTCAAATGCCCTGCAGAGCAGGAGGGCACTTTGCAGTGCGTGGATCTCTGCTCACTGCTCTCCCTGAGCGCATCTCCTTTCTTATTCCAGATCACAGACTGCTCCTGAAGCCAGCTCTAACCCCAGAGCTAAAAGCTGCTTGTGCGTAATGAGCTGCGCTGTCACCAGCCTCTTAGAAAGATGGTTCCTTACCAGATCGGACAGTCTGCTACCTAACTGCCTCTCCCAGGCCTTGGACAGGAGAAGACAGTATCTAAGGGCTTTACTTTCACCAGCCACGCCTGCGCAGGTGACGGGAAGCTCATCATGCTTTTGGCTAACCGGTATCCCACACACAGGCTCTTGCTGGGGGAGACCATGCGTCCTTCCCACGCTGTTGTCTGCAGGCACTGCGTGTGCAGAGCAGGCATGGAAAATGGCACAGAGGTGCACTGAGGAAACCCATAGGCGTCACGAGAGTTTCCCATCTTTCCATTTCTGTTCTGTGCGTCCTTGCAGTAACTGGAGTAAAGCTCTCCATTTGTATGGAACTGCCATTTCCTTGCGCGATTGCCTGTAGAAGGGCAGGAGAGGTGTGAGGAAACTCACAGGCTTTATAGCTGTTCTTACAGCCCAGCTAATGGAGAACTCGTGGACAAAAGGAGGGCAAACTAGCAGGTATGGGTAGAGGATTAAATCTATGCTAAAACCAGGGCCTCGCACCATTTAATGGGCCTTCAGGAATACGTAACTATGCAGGACTCAAAAGGCCTGTGGAAAGTGTATTTCTGTTCGCGTGCTAGGACTGCTCGGTTCATCTGGGTCACCCAGCCCCAGGCTGCTTTTTGGGCACACTTGGTGCCAGAGCAGAAGGAAGACAGGGTTGGTGTTCCCAGCGTAAGAGCAAAGATGCCTCCTGGCAGCTTTGGTTGCAGAACGGTAGGATCTGGATGGGGTGTGGGAAGCTGCTGGCTCCTGACGGGTGCCCCATTGTTCCCCTTGCCCACTACAGAGGCTTCAGCCAGCTCAGCGTCCAGCCGGGCGGCTGGCGCAGCCCTTCTCCCACCGCCCCTGCGTGGTCAGAGGGGCAAGTTGTGCACGCCCGTTGCTGCGGGGGGGGGTGGGGTGGTACAAAATAGCGGGGGACAGCACCGAGGGGAGGCTAAAGGGAGCGAGTACAAGGGAGATCACCAGTTTTTGGGTGACAGTAGGAAGATGAGGAGGGGCTGGTGACAGGAGGAGGCGAGGGGAGAATAAGAGTGGGGGAGCAAGGTAAAGGGGAGCATGGAGGGAATTTGTTTCTTAGGAGAGGCTCTGAATCAGAGGATGAATGTGGTGGAGTTTGTCCTAGGAAAGAGCATGAGAGGGACATGGACAGTGTGGGTTTTGGTGTGTGGTGGGGGGCCATGCCTGGCTGCTGCCCTGCTTCCGTAGCAGTGGTGATCGCTGCAGGTTTCCATTTAGCTAGATTCATGTGCCCAATGGGTGATCCGAGTACCAGATCAGCTCCCTGCTCACCCGCTGCCTTCCCAGATTTCCCCCGGGCTTTTGTCATCCTTTCCCTGTGGCAGAGGTGGGACGTGGCCCTGCCTGCACCCCTGTGCCCCACCACGGCTGGGCATTCCCGTGCCCAGGGAATGCAGCCCAGCTGGGAGGAGAGCCCGCAGGCACATCCTCTCCTCCCTTTTCCCTTTGCTCAATCTCATTATCCTTCGCTTTTTTTTTTAATCCCTCCCTAAGTTTTTTTTCTTGCCCCTGGATAGAGCTCTCCACAGCTCTCACCGAGACCTTCATTGAACATCCACACTCATATTGGGTTGCCCTCTGTGCCCTCCCAGCTCCCCTGGCTGGGAGAGACGTGCATGTCTTCCACTCCTCTCTGTCCCCTTGTGTTCTGTGCGTGGAAAATCTTAACCCACTGCTTTTCCTCTGGGTTCTCTTGTTGGATCTCGTCCCTGTGGGTGGGTCATTTCTGTCTCCATTGCACAGTCGTCCTGGTAAAAACCACAGCATCAGCGGGAATGTGGAGATGGTTTGAGAGCCGCAGAACTGCTGGGGCAGATGCCGGGGCCCGACTCTGCTTCTCTAGGAGCCCAAGAGCCCTTTGGCAACCCAAAAACCGTCACTGTGGGCACGTGGTCCCATGCGCGGTGCTGGGCTCCAGAGAACACTTTCGTTCTTTATCATTTCATTGTCTGTAATTGGTTTCCTACTGAATTTGTTTGCTTGGTTTGTTTTGCAGTGTGTTTCTGGGAATATTCTGCATCTCTGTATTTTAATTACAGTAAAATTTGAGGATAAAAACCTTGGTTACACTGGCTCTTGTTTCCAGTGGGGGGAAATGAGGAGAGGAAGCACAGTTGAAGGAAGATGTTAGAGATTCCTTGGGAAATCAGATCTCTCCCCTAAGGGGCTCTGCATGAGGCACCAGGCAGGGCTGAACCTCCGTCCCTGCTTAAACTAGGACATGGCTTTCAACCGTGATTCAAAAGCCGTTTTGCTGCAGGCACATCTCCTGATTGGAATGGTAAGAACAGTTGGATAAGACTTATAAGCTCAATTTCTTGTGTTGGTTTAAGGACCAGTGCACAAGAGGACTTTCGGGACGCGGACAGCTGGCCTAGCCCCGAAAGTGGGATTCCG